ATGACCAAATTTTAATGCCAAGAACATGCACAGTGGTAATGGCTGTAACATGAAGTTCTGCCCAAACCAGAACCTGATTGGCTTTCCTTTGAGAGAGACTTCTGGTGCCTCACTGGTGGTTTTTGTAGGTCGCTGGCATGGCCCTGTCCAGCAGGTTCTGGGTCAGATGACTTCGCAGATGAGGGGGGGGGGGCAACAAAATTGTCAGGAACCTAGGACCCTCTGGTCCTGTATGTTGATTGCTCTAATCAGGAAAAGCTGCAGTTTCTAGATCGTCTTACACACCTGATCAGTAGGACCAAACCTCAAGCCAATACACTTGCATCCATTGTGAGACAAATCACTAGGAAGATGGATTTCCTTGATTCTAGTGCCAAGCTTTATTACATAATTCACAATGCCAGGGCAAGTTTGGTCCTACTGATCAGGTGTGTAAGACGATCTAGAAACTGCAGCTTTTCCTGATTAGAGCAATCAACATACAGGACCAGATGCAATAAGGAATGCACTGGAAAGGTCCTAACAAGTTGAGGGCTCTTTAGCCAATCCAGACTAGTCACTTTATGTGTAGCTAATGCAAGCAGCTCCAAATATAGGGTTGTGCAAACTGCATCAGTATGGACAGGTACAGTATCCTTAAGTTGCAGAGTAACGTCTGCAGATTGTGACTCCTCATGAACCAAATCCTCAAATAAGAAAAAGGTACAATCCTCCTCAGCCTCAGTGGACTGTGCAGAAGCAACTACAAATCCAGGAAAGTCAGAGACAAATTCCTGAGGAGAAGAGTTATAAGCCCTTTCAATTTGAGCCAGCTGTCATGGCTGCAATTTTGCTAATAAATTCAGACAGAGAAGCTGACAATTGCTCATCCCTTAAATCCCTAATACATTTTCAGGATCTAAAGTTGGAAGGTAGGCTTGTAGCATGGAAATCCATATTAAATTATGTCTGTGGTCAAAATTTAACATCATATATTCATTTGCATATCATATTTCAGTTATTTCTAGGCCACTCCTATTAATCTGACTGATCTTGAAGTTTGTAAACTTACTTCCTTGAATTCAATGTATATATTTGTCAGCACATCATGGATCATCAATTGCCATCTTAAAGTTTTATTGAAAATGTATCACATCACAAAGTGCAACATTTCTGAGCCATGCAAGATCCCTTCATCAGGCATGTAATAAGTGCCTACAGTGACACAGAAATATTTAAAGTGCAATCAAACAAGTAAAAGGTGACCCCCCCCCCCACACACACACACACTCTGTTGTCATATGACATCATAATCCTGCCAAAACAGCAAAGTAAACAAACACATATTGTACCTGAAAGTCATAATTGTATGTCCTGTGATCAAATCCTCCCCAATATCAATACATCATGCTGGCTAAGTAATACTAAATGGTTGCATGGGGGCAACCTTTCTGCTCCATGAGTCTAGAATGTGCACATAAATGATCGATTGGGCAGCAGCACCCGTTACCTCCAAGCCTATTCCAGAAATAAGTACAATGGGAATATTAACATTATCCTTGAATTGTGTGACAAATACTCACTATTCCCTCTGAGTATTCCCTATAGCTGTGCCATACATTTCCCAGACTCAAATAAAGAAAAAGCATCCAAGAAGCACTGGAAGTTTGATGTAAGTTCATACAATGTAGTGAGAGGACAAAAATATTCAGAGAGCTCCCTGCCTCAGGTTAGGCTGCTCCCAGCAGACAAGAATATCCTCCAGTGGGTATCCCAGCAGGTAACCAGTAGAAAACATGCATTAATTGAAGAAGTGCCAGACCTAGGGATAAAAGAGTCCAAATTAAGTTATTAATTTATACTAAATAACAGCCAACTCGTTTTGGGGTTAGCAAACCCGCCCCCTTCAGCAGGACTTCAATTGAAATAAGAGCCTTGAATTGACTTAAAATAGAGCTTTCTTATGTGAATCTGGGTGGGGAAGCTAATAGCAAGATCAGGAGAGTTACTGGCCAGCAGTATCTACATGAGCAATCAAGATAAACCTGAACACATTTCACATAGCCTGCCTTCTGAACTACAGAGGTGCTGAGAGGAGGAGTTTCAGGAGGTGGATTCAGTACAGAAATCACAGTTTGCAGAGAGCAAGGTACCATGGGACATGTAGTCCTTAGAAATCAAAATACGCCACGGGGGGAGAAGATACAAAGCAAGCAAGATTATGTTGAATTCTCAATAATAATTATTGTTTGTATTGTTATTACAGTGATTTGGTTGATGAGTGCAGTGAATGACTGTTTATTATGTACAGCTATGTTTTTATGACCCATTATCGGTCTTAAATGTTGCCACCAGTTCCAGCCTTTCATCCAGCAGGCTTATTCATTTATTATTACCTGGTTGGTAAATGAAAAATTTACATCACTCTATATCTGATAATTCAGTACATAGGACATGAGGGTACTCAAATATGAAATGTGTGTATATTGAGGTACATGAACTTTGCAAGGCCATCATGAGTAGCCCAGGATGTGGTGGTTCCAGAAGAAAGAAAAGGCTCCCTCTTCCCATGCATGGGAGTCTATCTCTATCTAACTGCCATCAGCAATCTCCCAAAGAGGGAGCATAGGAAGTGAAGAAGAAACTAATCGACAAAGAAAGTTCTTTGGGATATCAGAATTGAGTAAAAGAATCACAAAACACTAAAATGATCTGATCATTGAGTGGATCTTTATTCACGCTGACATGGGTGCCATTCAAATAATGCTTTATGTTCTCTGAATGAATGCAAAGCATTCTCTGATTAGATGAGGTAAAGATTTTGATGTCACAACCCCACTTCCCCACCTTGTCTAATTAGAAAATACTTTCAATTCATTCTGAAAAAGCAAAGCATTCTCTGAGTTGTGCCTGAGTCAAACAGCCAAGCTCCTGTGTTAAAGTGGTTGTAAACCTCAAACTTGAAATATGAACATAACATATCCCTCTATAGTGTGTACTTGTCTCAATCCAGAGCACCAAGTGTGATTTCTGTCTGCTGCTTCATACTTTTGCTATCTGCATGAATCACTTCTGACAAGTTCCCCTGGCATGAAGAGAAAAAAGGTGACAAAAGAGGGACTCCCAGCACACAGCCTGTGATTGAAAGCCTCAGCTCTGTTCCTTTGTGCTATATGAAGTGGGGGGGGGGGGGTGACCCCACCCTCCACTCAGCTCTCAAAGCTCTCCTCACACAGCTCTGCAGAGTGTAACTTCAGTTTCCCACCTGCTGCTTTTCAGAGCTGAGGGACCCTGTGTAAATTATGCACTTTGAATGGATGCAGAAGACATATGGATGCAGATAAACAGAAACAACTTATGTAGGAGGATTTGTTTAATCTCCGTGCATTACTGGAGGCCAGTCACTTCACTGGGTATGTGCAAGGGTTTACAACTACTTTAGGTAAATAGGAGTGTAGCCACAGGACCTGGAAGCAAGTGAGGCATCAGCCAGGTATGGTATATACACTGTTGTACATAATTACACGTAACTATGTATAATATAGCCTTGCCTGGAAATATTCTTTAAAGGATAAGTTCACACAACTCCACTTGCTCAGCACAACTTCACTTTCCTGCCTGTCTCTGTGACACTTTCAGCAGCAAACAACTCTTTTCCTGGCTCTTTGGGAGATCTCAGAAGTTGCTAAGTTTTTGGGTCCCCCTATAGTCCTGCACAACCAGGCAACACACATTTTTCTTCCACACTTGCACTCAGAGTCAGTAAGCAGTCCTTGAGCTTGTTTTAATGTTTTATTAAGGACAAACTCCTTAGCAACTATATACACATGTGGACAAAAAGAATGAAAGTCTCTCCTTTGAAGAGCTCTCCAGCTCTTCTGCTTGGGGATTGATTAGAGTACCCTAAGTATGCAGATCAGCCCCTCCTCACCTCCACCCACTGCCTTCTAGAAACTTCTCAAGCTTTTCGAGGAGTGGGAGGTATCAGGGAACTGACCTGCAGAGCCCTCAGCCCTGACCTAAAGTTACTTGACTGACTCATCTCAGGCTGACTCATACCAGGCTGCTATCCAGCCTCTAACAAAAAACCTAGCTAGCTTCCCCTGACTAACTGGAGCAGCACTACAAAACCTTTTTATTAGCACGTTACTGTTTCAAAAAACAGTATAAAGGAAACAATGTGATGAAAAAGCATTTGTGGGTTTAGCCAATTATATTTTGCTTATTATTTATTCATAGGGCACATAACTGGGAGTGTAACAGGTATTTTGTCCTTTGCCTACACACATTGTACTAAAAAGCGTCCCTCTTTCCCATCTGAAATAGTTTGGAGGTATGGATAACGTCCCATAGCAAGCACTCAAAGTGTTATGGGAGGGTTGTATTTCATGGGATGCTTCCCTGTATTAACCAATCACAAATTTAGCACAAATTTATTTCCAATGGTTGTGAGAATGGAAGCCATATTATCTTGATTGATTACTGTACGTACAAGCTTATTATTTGATATATTTACTGCTCTCTCAAGCTCAAGAAGTACAACGATCTTGGGCACAAGCAGTATGCAAATATACTTTTGGAAAAATTCTGCTCACACAATGCAATAGATGCCTAAACAACCAACTGGGATGCACCCGACATTGCATGGCAGGATGCAACGAGGGAACCCGTTACTATTGCTGAATCCTGGAAATCAAATACACTATGGTGTCCGTTTATGAACCAGCGGTAATAGATCACTGCTTAGTTCTCCGGCATTCTGGGAGAACACAGTTCTCCTGTGAATGCAGTTTATGAAGCAGTTCTCCGAACGAAGGGAGAACGGTCTCCAAACGCTGGAGAACGGTCTACAAACTCTGGAAAACGGCTGATTTTACTATAATCTCGCTCTCAAGGCACCCTGCAGGAACAGATTTTTCAGTAAGCCAGACTTGTCTGCACTTTGTGGTTCCAAGCTTGCATGTAGCTGTGTATTTCTACCTGTCATCTATTTGCCAGGTAGAGCTTTTTTCAGCAGGATTGTGGTGGTATACAGTTCCTGCACCTCCACCTTGAATGTACATGCAACATGTACAAGTGATGGTGTGTGCTCAGGGGCGGACTGACAACTAATGGGGCCCCTGGGTAATAGGGGATCATGGGCCCCTGTGTCTTTGTCCAAACTCAAAGTCTATGAAAAAGGTACCAGGGGCATCTCATGGGGCCCCCTACTGACCCCAGGCCCTCGGGCAGAGCCCGAGTTTCCAAATGGTCAGTCCGCCCCTGGGTGTGCTGGAAGGTCTATTGATGCTGGGGAATCTATTGTTGCTGGGAAAGGGGGTTAATATTGCTGGTGAGGGGTCTTTTATTGCTGATGGGGAATCTATTGTTGCTGCAGTGACCTATTGTTGCTATGGGGGGTTTATTGTTGTTGGCTGTTGGGATATCTATTGTTTCTGTAGGGGTCTATTGTTGGTGGTGAATCTATTGTTGCTGGGGGGGTCTTACTGTATGTTGCTAGAGGGATCTACTGTTGAGAAGGAAATCTATTGATGCTGACTGCTAGGGAATCTATTGCTGCTGGGGTGATCTGTTGTTGCTGGTGGGAGGTCTGTTGTTGCTGGGGGGATCTAATGGTGTGGGGGAATTTATTTTTGCTGGAGGAGCTATTGTTGCTGGCTGCAGAGGATGTATTTTACTGCCTTTGTTATCATTAACAAATTCTATACAAATTACTTAGCAGCAAAAATTGAAACTCAGTTCTGTATTCTCTAAAAGGGGCGGTACTGGGAGGTGGGTAGGGGGCAGAGACAAGGGATGGTACTCAGAGTTGGGTAGGTAGCAGAGACAAAGGGATACTTGAGGGAGGGGGGAGTACCTGCACATATTCTCTTAGGGGAAAAGCCCTAGTGACAGGTTTGGTTTATATGTGTCACCTTGGCAAATAAGTAATCCTCTTTAACTTATCTGACATTTAGATCTAATTGGCTGCTTTGGGTTACTGCACTTTGTTGATCACCATTGCCTTTTGTATTGTGTACATGTCTCAGCAGACACAAGTAGAAGGGAAGGGTCGAGTTCTTCTATATGGCCAGAAAAAGGTAGGGATCTCTTATCTTGGTGAAATTTGCTTAAACCTTATCGACCGGAAACTCATAGTTCCAATGACTTTACCAACATGAAAGTCAAACATTGTGAAACTGTGTCAACAATAATTTATAGAATATAACACCAAGTAAAAGTTCTTTAGCATAAGTCAATGTTATTACATTCAATGTTACTTAGAGAACACAAGCTAGCATCATAGAATGTGAAAAGGTCTTATGCCTGCTAATAAATCATTTAGGCCTGGTTCATACCAATGCAGTGTGCATATTGTCCGTTTTAAAGTGCAGTTTTACCGTGTTTTGCATTTTTTCTGCTTTTTTTGTTTTATGTTAAAGGTAAATGTTTTTGTTGCCGGGTAGAATAAAAAGTGCTGCAAAAATGCAGCAAAAACGTACTACATGCGTTTGAGCAGTGTCTCCATTGAACTCTATTGTAGCAAAAACGCTGCTTTTTGCATTTACAAAAGTCCCTGACCTGTCTTAAAAATGCAGCAGCTTAAAAAAAGCATATATGTGAACGTGTCCCAAAGGAAACCATGTTAAATGGACTGTAGTGCAAAAAGCACTAAAAAACAAATTGGTGTGAGCCAGGCCTTAGACTGTCTGTGAATGTTACCTGCTGGACCCTTTTGCTGCCCTTTTGCTGCCAAAGCCGTTTTTGCTTTTTTTTTGTTTTGTTTTTTCTGCTCACAATTTAATAAATATTTTAGACCTGAAGCTTGCTTAAAGCCCCCCAAAACATTATATATTTCCTGACAATAAAGACCCAGGGAATAAACTGGTGGCAGTTTAATTATCTCATGTGATATTAGGCATAACAGTTTATCAAGCGCAACATTTCAGTAACATACACAAATACATTATCCATTTTTGTTAAAATATAAAATATGGGTACGGATGGAAACGATTTCCCCTTCAGTGTTCTACCCCCAACTGCTCGACACTGGTGATAGTTTAGATCACAATCTCATCCGCTTATGACCTATTGTATTGACGATGATACAAACTCCGCACGTTACCCCCTCCCTTACTTTGCCCCTTCCCTGTGCTCCCCTCCCCCCTCCCCTTTTTTTTTTTTCTCTCGTTCCCATCTTTTCTTCTCTCTTCTTCCTCTTCTTACATGCTCTTATACATCTTAGGTACTCATTAAAGGAACATTTGGCATGTTGATAGCATACCTCCCTTATTTTTATAAGCGGCCCTCACAACAATTTACGTTTGCATTCAGATACCTCTATCGTCTTAAGATTGTAGCAATGCCTTTTACATAAGCTCCGCATCTATCCTCCCTTTCTTTACAGACCTACACATTGAGATATATTTATAGGAGGTCCGGCGCCACAATCCTCCAAATCGCTTTACAATAACGCCTGAGTATTACAAGCATAACCCTGTCGCGGCCTAGTATATTAATAATATCCATATTCTTGCATTTCATTCCATTCTTTCATGTTTTATGCATTGCCAAATGTCTTGTCTCCACTTCATTTGCATATTTCCTATGTCATTCTGTATTTCATTAATAAACTTTTCTGGAATAAAAAAAAAATATATAAAATATGAGGTTCTGCCAAGTAAATAGATACCCAAGATGTCCCATCTTAAAACTGTGTGCATTTTTGCCACCCACCCAACTGCTCCCCGTAACTCAGTGGTTCTCAACCTTCCTAATGCCGCGACCTCTTAATACAGTTCCTCATGTTGTGGTGACCCCCAACCATAAAATTATTTTCGTTGCTACTTCATAACTGTAATTTTGCAGTGGGAGGAGTAGTGCCCCATCATTGGTGTCAGTGGGAGGAGTGGTGCCACATCACTGATGTCAGTGGGAGGAATAGTGTCCCATCGTTGGCATCAGTGGGAGGAATAGTGCCCCATCATTGGTATCAGTGGGAGGAATAGTGTCCCATCATTGGTATCAGTGGGAGGAATAGTGTCCCATCGTTGGCATCAGTGGGAGGAATAGTGTCCCATCATTGGTATCAGTGGGAGGAATAGTGCCCCATCATTGGTATCAGTGGGAGGAATAGTGTCCCATCATTGGTATCAGTGGGAGGAATAGTGCCCCATCATTGGTATCAGTGGGAGGAATAGTGCCCCATCATTGGTATCAGTGGGAGGAATAGTGCCCCATCATTGGTATCAGTGGGAGGAATAGTGCCACATTGTTGGTGTCAGTGGGAGGAATAGTGTCCCATCATTGGTGTCAGTGGGAGGAATAGTGCCCCATCATTGGTGTCAGTGTGGGAGGAATAGTGCCCCATCATTGGTGTCAGTGTGGGAGGAATAGTGCCCCATCATTGGTGTCAGTGGGGGGGGGAATAGTGCCCCATCATTGATACTAGTGTGGGGGGGAATTGTGCCCCATCGTTGGTGACAGTGGGGGGGGGGGGTAGTGCCCCATCGTTGGTGTCAGTGGGGGGAGGAATAATGCCCCATCGTTGGTGTCAGTGGGCTGAGGAATAGTGCCCCATCGTTGGTGTCAGTGGGGGGAGGAATAGTGCCCCATCGTTGGTGACAGTGGGGGGGGGGTAGTGCCCCATCGTTGGTGTCAGTGGGGGGAGGAATAGTGCCCCATCGTTGGTGTCAGTGGGGGGAGGAATAGTGACCCATCGTTGGTGACAGTGGGGGGGTAGTGCCCCATCGTTGGTGTCAGTGGGTTGAGGAATAGTGCCCCATCGTTGGTGTCAGTGGGGGGAGGAATAGTGCCCCATCATTGATACTAGTGTGGGGGGGAATTGTGCCCCATCGTTGGTGACAGTGGGGGGGGGGTAGTGCCCCATCGTTGGTGTCAGTGGGCTGAGGAATAGTGCCCCATCGTTGGTGTCAGTGGGCTGAGGAATAGTGCCCCATCGTTGGTGTCAGTGGGGGGAGGGGTAGTGCCCCATCGTTGGTGACAGTGGGGGGGTAGTGCCCCATCATTGGTGTCAGTGGGCTGAGGAATAGCGCCCCATTGATTGGTGTCAGTGGGGGGAGGAATAGTGCCCCATCGTTGGTGTCAGTGGGGGGAGGAATAGTGCCCCATCGTTGGTGTCAGTGGGGGGAGGAATAGTGCCCCATCGTTGGTGTCAGTGGGGGGAGGAATAGTGCCCCATCGTTGGTGTCAGTGGGGGGAGGAATAGTGCCCCATCGTTGGTGTCAGTGGGGGGAGGAATAGTGCCCCATCATTGGTGTCAGTGGGGGGAGGAATAGTGCCCCATCGTTGGTGTCAGTGGGGGGGGGTAGTGCCCCATCGTTGGTGTCAGTGGGGGGAGGAATAGTGCCCCATCGTTGGTGTCAGTGGGGGGAGGAATAGTGCCCCATCGTTGGTGACAGTGGGGGGGTAGTGCCCCATCGTTGGTGTCAGTGGGTTGAGGAATAGTGCCCCATCGTTGGTGTCAGTAGGGGGAGGAATAATGCCCCATCATTGATACTAGTGTGGGGGGGAATTGTGCCCCATCGTTGGTGACAGTGGGGGGGGGAATAGTGCCCCATCGTTGGTGTCAGTGGGCTGAGGAATAGTGCCCCATCGTTGGTGTCAGTGGGCTGAGGAATAGTGCCCCATCGTTGGTGTCAGTGGGCTGAGGAATAGTGCCCCATCATTGGTGTCAGTGGGCTGAGGAATAGTGCCCCATCATTGGTGTCAGTGGGGGGAGGGGTAGTGCCCCATTGTTGGTGACAATGGGGGGGGGGGGTAGTGCCCCATCGTTGGTGTCAGTGGGCTGAGGAATAGCGCCCCATTGATTGGTGGTGTCAGTGGGGGGGAGGAATAGTGCCCCATCGTTGGTGTCAGTGGGGGGAGGAATAGTGCCCCATCGTTGGTGTCAGTGGGGGGAGGAATAGTGCCCCATCGTTGGTGTCAGTGGGGGGAGGAATAGTGCCCCATCGTTGGTGTCAGTGGGGGGAGGAATAGTGCCCCATCGTTGGTGTCAGTGGGGGGAGGAATAGTGCCCCATCGTTGGTGTCAGTGGGGGGAGGAATAGTGCCCCATCATTGGTGTCAGTGGGGGGAGGAATAGTGCCCCATCGTTGGTGTCAGTGGGGGGAGGAATAGTGCCCCATCATTGGTGTCTGTGGGGGGAGGAATAGTTCCCCATCGTTGGTGTCAGTGGGGGGGGGAGGAAATAGTGCCCCATCATTGGTGTCAGTGGGAGGAATAGTGCCCCATCATTGGTATTAGTGACACCAATGATGGGGCACTATTCCTCCTACTGACACCAATGATACTTACCTTGCTGACTCCTGCTCCAGCCTGGGCTCGCTCCCTCTCCCATCTACAGCCAGCATACCTGACTACAGCAGCACCATCTGCACGCTACAGACACTTACCTGTCAGCTGTCTTCCTTCTCCGGCTGCTCCCTCGCTCGATCTTCTTTGATCTTCGCGCTGCTGCTCGGCTCCTCCTCCTCGCCGGTGATTGGCCGCCTGTGTGCCTCTCATGAGCTACAGTTCCGGCGAGGAGGCGGAGCTGTTGAGTGATCCCAGGGATGTGGCCAGATGACAGGGGTGGCATGTCATCCCACGCACACATCGCAGTCCAGGGAAATGTGGACGTTTCTGCATGTGGGCGGACCCGCCTGGAGACTGATAGAGGAGCGGTGTCTCAGTTCCTAAGACCATCGGAAAAATATGTGTTCTCCGATGGTCTTAGGAGACCCCTGTGAAAGGGTTGTTCGACCCCAAAAGGGGTCGCGACCCACAGGTTGAGAACCGCTGCCTTAACTCCTTCGTGCCGGCGCCTCCCAGCCCTTTAAGGGTTTCAGAAGCGTGTGTGGAGAAGCGGAGGTGGGGCGGGGTTTAGGGTCATGTGACCACCGTGACACACCGTCACAGTGGTCACATGATCGGGAAAGGTCACGATCGAAAGAGGAGATCGAGACCTTTCCATGAGTACCGGACATGTGTGCTGGGAGCACATATGTCTTTTTTTAATAGAACACAAACACAGCAATACCACCTGCTGAACTTAACCCATGCAACAGTGAGCTGTTCCGTAATTGGGAGTTTTTAGGTACTAAGACAGATGGAGAGGAGGCAACACAATGCCAAACACGCTCTGAAAAGTGGTCATCCTTTAGAGGGCAACACATGTATGAATTAGCCTTTAGGGCTCTTTCAGGCAGGAAGTAATGCTTACTGCTCTCTGAAAAGCGACCAGCATTTCAAAGAGCTGTATGAATAGAAGTGGCTGTCTGGTGTTCAAAAGGCACTATTACTGGCTCCTGTTTTATTTATTTTTTTTACTTTTTTAAAATTGTTGAATAACTGCGAGCCTAGTGCAGCCCCACTCAATGGGCAAGTTTGACAGGGTGCTGCCACCTGTCAAACCCTGGAGCCCAAGTTAAAATTGCTTCAAAGCATCACAGCTGCAGCACGTGTACATCCTTGACCACCTGCAACATTAGAATTCTGGTGGGTGGCCAGGGGGAAAAGGAGGGGGTTGGTGGGAGGGGGGGGGTAAGAACTGGCCTCAGCTGCCTGTTTTTTAAACACCCTCCCAGCTGCCTGTGTGAAAGAGCCCTAAACACACACACACATACCCCCCCCCCCCCCCCACCAAGAAACATTTCAATTATTTCCCAGGTCAGGAAAAAGGTGTGGTTACCACTTAACCCCCCCAACCACCACCACCACCTCCTAAGTAGAGGTAATCATGGTAGGTGAATGATACTTATGATTCTGACTGGAACCAAAGGGGGCTGTTTGTCACAAAATAAATCAGGTATTTAACACATTGATATACATTAAATTACATTATATATTTGCTTTTGTCCTGTTTTCACTATATTTGCACATCAGCAGACTTTGTATTAATAACATCATTACAAATGCACTCAAAGGAACTATGACACACGAAAACAAAACAAAACCCACATTATTATGCTGAATCACACCAATCCGAGAATGAGATATGCCTTAATATGTACAGTATATATTTATTTAGTGAGTTTGTGCTGCCATCTATTGGTAATGCAAATCAACATTTAAATATGATTGACATTATTTTTCCTTTACACATGGCATGCAAGGCAGGACATATTCATTTTTTTTTGTTCAACCAGAGAGTTGAATGAAAAATATACACAACCTAATCCCTTCCCCCCCACCACACACCTCATCCATGTGGATAGGGGGGAATCACTCCCATTGTGTCATATTCTGACAGTAGGGAGTGTTCCCCGCACTCAGAATACACTACTTAGTGGTGCTGACTATAAAGCCAATGGAGCTGATTGATTGGGAAAATCCCAACAGACTGTTTGTACAGACCTGATCAATAGATTGACTTCTGTAAAACCAGCCTTCCTCAAAACTCGTTTGGTCCCAGCTGAACTGGCCAAATATCAATCCATGTATGGCCAGCTTGAAGATTTTTTCTTGAAAAAATATTTTTTTTAATGAGAACTGCACCTTATTTTTTTCTAATGGTAAGTAATTTCTACATTCTGATTTTGTTAACCACTAGCTGACCTGCTTATAGTAAATGTGCTGTGAGCGGGCGGCAGCTACAGGCTCACCAACGTACCTATATGTCACTGAGCACATATACTTGCGGGCCCTCTGTGACTCCTGTGTCCAGTGGACACAGTGGATCACCGTGCTCGGTACCCAGCCGCTGGTATCAGTAGCCAATGGTGACCAGTCTTAGCGAACACATGATGTTATGTAAGCAAACTGTCATGAATGGCTTCCATTCGTGAACAGCTTGCTTACAGCTATCACATGGTACCTGCACCCTGTACCATTTGACTAGTTGTAGACAATCACAGCATGTCAACAGTAGGCAAGCTGTCATGAATTGAAAGCCATTAACAGTCAACTATTGCTTATAACAGTGATCATCACTGTTATAAGCAATAACAGTAAAAAAAAAAAAAATCACTGATCAGCCAGCCCCCCACCCAAGAGTAGTGTCAGTGTTCAGTGTCCCTATGGTGATACTGATCTACTCTGATGAGTGTATGTAAAAAAAATTGTAAAAAGAAAAAAGAAAAGAAAATGTTAAAAAAGGAAAAAAAAAGTTTTAAAAAAATATAATTTAAAAAATGTATTTATTTTGTAGTCTGATCACTGACAGACTAGTCATATGATGACACTGCACTGCACTGGTGACAGTATGTAAAAAAAAAATATTTAATTTCCTGATTTTCTAAAAAATTCTGACAAAAATGGATGACTTCAAAAAACTCACAATGCTTCTTAATAAATAACCTGTCTACTTTCCAGAAAGAGGTCATTTGGGGGAGAGGAGGGGAGGGGGGGCGGGGGATTTATACTGTCCTGGCATTTTAAGTGCCTCAAGAAATGAGGTACAGCACATCAGGAATTAGCAAATTTCAAATGTATATACCATCAGGGCTTTTTTTCTTAGAGAATAGTTGCAGGTACTCCCCCTTTCCAAGCCACTGTCTCTGCCCCCTGCCCACCATCCTTTGGTTCCATCCCCTACCCACCTCCCAGTTTCTCCCTTTTTAGAGAATGCAGAGCCAAGTGTAATGTTGTGGTGCCAAGTTTGTATGGAATTTGTTAACCACTTGAGCTCCTGAGGATTTACCCCCCTTAATGACTAGGCCTCTTTTTGCTACACGGCGCTGCACTAATTGAACTGATAATTGCGCGGTCATGCAATGCTGCACCACGAAATTTACGCCCTTTTTTTCACACAAATAGAGCTTTCTTTTGGTGTAATTTGATCACCTGTGCGCTTTTTATTTTTCACGCTATAAACAAAAAAAGGCCAAAACTTTTGAAGAAAAACAATATTTTTTATTTTCAGCTATAAAAATATATAGTAAACTCAAAGTTGGTTATAAATTTAGGCCAAAATGTATTCTGCTACATGTTTTTGGTAAAAAAAAATTCCAATAAGTGTATATTGATTGCTTTTTGTGGAAGTTATAGCGTCTACAAACTATGGTATAAATACTGCAATTTACGCCATTTTATTGCTATACAGCGCTGAGCTAGTTTAATGGAGCGTGGTCATGCAATATGGTACATAAATGAAATTTACATCCTTTTTTCCCCACAAATTGAGCTTTCTTTTGGTGGTATTTGATCGCCTGTGCGGTTTTTATTTTTTGCGCTATAAAAAAAAAGGCTGACAATTTTGAGGAATAAAAAACAATATTTTGGACTTTTTGCTATAAAACATGTCCAGTAAAAAAAATCAAATTTAGTCATAAATTTCTGCCAAAATGCACTACGTGTAAATTAATTG